TGGCTACTCCTGCCCCAGTGAATGTCCCCAGAGGGACCTTGCAGGGACATGATGTGGGATGCTGGGCTGAGGTGGCTGTGGGGAAGGCGGGAGGGTGATGGGGCTGGCACAGAGAGGAGCCGAGCCATGCTGACTCAGCCTGCCCAGTGGCAGGAAAATAAATCTCCTCTGGGCATTAATCCCCTCGAGAACCCGGGGAGTGCCAGAGCCTGCCCTGTGGCCACCTCTGGGCACTCACTGCCATGGTGGCCCTTGCCATCAGCAGAGCTCAGAGCCACTCTGGCCTGGGCTAATGGCAGGGGGACAACAGAGATGGGAGAATGCCAGGTTGCCCCAGAGCTGGTGTGGGGCTCACGGTGCTGCTTGGGGCTGGTGGGATGGAGAGGATGAGTGGCTGGTGGGAGTGGGGGGGCTTTGGCACTGGGGGAAGGAGGAGCAGGTCCAGGATTCCCTGCAGAGCCACCGTCCCCCAGCCTGGGATGGGGCAGCAAGTGTTGGAGCATCCTGCCTCCTGTCCCTTCCCCTCTGCCAGCCGTGGCCAGTGGCCTCCCCTGCAGCCCAGTGCCAGCAGCCGTGGTGAAGTGGTTTGTTTTAATTACTGGAGTGAAGGAAAATTCCAACGTAGGCAAACGCAGTAAGTGGAGCAGCACTGCCTGCTCTGCTGTGGGCACTCCTGGCCTGGCTGTGCCAGGGTGTGCCACTGCCAGGCCACCACATTGGCCTCCACAGACCTGTGTTTTCCCAAAATCCCTGTGGTTGGGTGCTTGTCCCAGCGTGCAGGGCTGAGACCCTTTCCCACCCCTGGCTCATCCCTGCTGCCATCACTATGGCGAAGTGGGGAGTTTTCTGGGATTCCTGCTCTGGGTGTTCCTGTGATGGGTGATTTGGGTGCTGTGGGGCTGGCCAGGAGCAGGTGTGGTGCAGAGGGGTGCCAGGCTGGCCGGTGCCAAGCATTCCCTTTGGTTCATGCCCCAAACATCCTGGATGCTGATCCCAGCTCCTGGCAGTGCTGTGGGCTGGGGCTGCTGGGGCACATCCTGCTGCTTGGGACTGGCCACCGCAGCTCTGGGTGGCTCTGGCCAACTCCTGCTCTGCTGGCACCATGGCTGCCACCACCTTGGAGGACCCCACTGCCAACAGTCCCTGGGGTCCCCTCTGCACCCCTCACCCAATCCCTCTGGGAGGCTTTGAGGTGTGCAGGGCTGTGATGTGCCCTTGGCTGCTGCCAGGGGCTCGGGATCCTCGTGGTGACCCTCGTGGTGACGCACCGTGTGGCTCTTGAGGTGTGGGACGGGCTGCTGGGTGATCCTCCCAGCCAGGGCTCTGCCGAGGAGGAGCCCCCGGGGAGCCCCTGCCTTTGCCTCGGAGCAGCTGCAGGGGTGGGTGCCCGGGGGTCTCTGCCTGCCCCCTGCGCATCCCCCTGCCC